ATAATCAACCTTGCGATCTCCAGATCCGACAACAACCTCTCGCTTCACTCTTCGTGTGTCAAGAGATTCAACATCTGAAGCTGGCGGTGTTGGGATTGCGTTGAGTGCCAAGGCCGAGCGTTCGCTTCTTGCTTGGATTCTAGTGAGTAGCCGACTGTGCACTTACGTCTGGATTGTTCATTACGGGTCAACAAGAACAAAACAAGGCATCGCTTTCCATTCTTCGTAATCGTATATGCACCGACCGATTGCGGTTTGCCAGAAACAAAGGATGAATTCTACAAGGATCTCTCTCAACTGCTGGAAAATGTTCCGTCAACGGACATCATTACGGAAGCTGGAGACTTCAGCGTTCGAGTGGGATCCATGGACGAATCAGAAAGGCTTCTTAGTGGTACATATACAATCCTAGCCAAGCGGACGAACAACAGAATACACTCTCACTCTGCGCTGACGGTGGATTGTTTTCGTCAAGCACCAACTTTTCGCACAAAAAACACCGCCTTACAAGGAAACCGCTAACTTCTTCACAAAGATGGACTCGAATCGAAGGCATCTCCATTAGGTACAGCTGGAGAATGTCAATTCAAGACTGCCGTTCTTACTGGTCAACACCCATGGATACACATGCTCTGCTACGCGTCAGATCCTCCCTAAGTTTGGTAAACAACCAAAGATAAGTAATCAGAACCAGATACCCACAATACTGTCAGCGAAAATTGCAAATAGTCCTTCAGAGCGAAACTCCGATCGCCTTTCAGTTCAAGAAAGAGTCTAAGGACTCGGTGAACATTGGACGGTAATCAACTAAGCCATCCAAATGTCAGTCAGCACAACACCGGATTCTGGCGCACGATCAAAACAAAAACGAAATATATATAATTTATAGGTACCTATTGGGTGAAATTAATATAATATATTTAACACTGGCTTGCGGACAGGCATAGTGCCAACGCTACAACAATAACAACAATGGGATTGAGGGTTTGGAATACAGGACATAAAAAAGGTTAAACTGTTAAGATGGGAAATTGAAACTGAATGGGATGACAATTTTCGTCTCACCGTACACTTTTTTGAAATAAGTTTGTGTGCTAGTATATAGTTTTCTATCGGGCAGGGAACTTCAACAGGCAGACCGTAGAGCATGCGCGCCACTGATTTCTACTCTGGGCCATATCTCTTAACATCTTTAACCAACGATAATCCTCATCCCTTGGGTCCCAACCTGGAAGACGAGTTGCATCAACCGAAGCCAAAGCTGAAACCAGTTTTTTCATACCATTATGCCATTTTATGGTCTGACCGCCGCAGTGCTTCTTCCAGCCTTGCTCGGCATGTGAAAAGAGAGCACGGAAAGGTAATCGATGGGCAGGCATACACAATACGTGACCAAGCCAGCGGAGGCGGTTTAGGGCGATTGATTCTGTTAGAGAGTGACTATCCACACCCAACACACGACGACGGACCTCTTCATTGCTCACCCGATGTTCCACCAGACACGAACGATGCTTCGGAGACATCGGTGTTCGAATACAGGAAGTGAATTAGCATCCTCATCGCGGAGTGGTCAGGTCTCGCAACCATAAAGCAAAACGCTACGAACTGAGACGGTGTACACCCTTTTCTTAAGGGACGGTCGGATGTCATGACAGTACTACAGACGTCGCAGGTATGCAAAAGCTGCTCTAGCTTTCGTTATTCGTGATGCAATCTCCTCCTTAACACTCCTACCAGCTGCGATCAAGCTCCCGGGGTACTTAAAGCTCTTGACTACTTCCAGCTCATCACCACAAAAGGTGAGTGCAGGCACAGGCTCCTGCCGGTCTTTGCACTTTGGACTTGGAAGGTGCAAAGCATCTACCACACCTGGATACCTCCATTGCCAAGTGGTCCAAAGCGTGTTGGACTACCTGTATATTGTCGCCGAGCAAGGCGATGTCATTGGCACATTCTAAGCCAAGGAGTCTGTTCCCTGGGAGGAGTTCGACTCTATCATTTGTTAGACCGAATAAAGCATTTTGTAGAACATTTGTCATAGGACAGATATGAAAAGGAATGGGGATATAGAAAAGCCTTGTCGAACTCCACTGGAGACGGCGAAGGGTGGCGAAAGCTGACCATAGGTCTTAACCCGACCTGATGTATGAAGATAAAACCCTTTGAGGATCAACACACTTCTCAGGTACTCCATTCCTCAACAAACAGTTTCATAATGCGGCCACATTGATAGTGTCGAAGGCCGCGTGGATGTCTAACAATGCAATGATCGTTGGTCTTTGATAGGCATGGCCGTGCTCTAGCAGCTGTCGAAGATTGAAGATTTGATCGATGCATCCACGACCGGCGCGAAACCCAGCCTGCTCCTCGCAGGTCTGCTCCTGACGTATAGTGTACAATTAGCGGAGAATGACGGACAATAGAACGCTACTATGACGATCAGCTTGTATAGTTGTTAATGACAACCAAATGCTTGACAATACAACATTAGGTGTTACAAGCTTTTGATAAAAAGGAGCTAACCGATTAAGAACACGAGACAAATAGACGATCTCAACTGGTTTAGAGCATTTATAACTATGGGGATGAGTAACCTAAGCTGGCCAGGTTAACTGAAACAAATAAGTAGTAGGATAATTTAGGTTGCAAGGAATGAGATTTGTTGCCATCACATTTTAAGGCTATTGAATGACAACCGAAAATATTACTAGATAGGCATGCGCAGTGAGTGGTAAAAGTCACGAAACCAATAGTGTGCTTCCAGGGAAATTCAAGTCATTCGTATAGTGCTCTATGTGTATATATCATTCACCGTGACTAATACGAATATTTCTCGCGGATCCAGTGTCGTTAGCATGATGCAGAACCTATTTAACATTATTCATTTTGAATCTGGTAACGTGAACATTACTAGTCTCTATGCCAGAATAATGATAAAAAACAGTGAAGATTCACCTACCGTTTTGCATGTTTTGAGCTGGTTGTACCCAATTTGTACAGTGCATTCAGAATACGGTAACAGGTAACCTGAACATTGCCAACTGGAATACAAGTGGAGAAACAAATTGATAAAATTTACAATCAGTGTTATATAAAGTATTTGGAGAAATACCCAAACACGCACGCACTTACCCAAAAGATCATCTCCACATTCATTCTTGCTCAGATGTTCAAACATAGATTTGAGAACTGGCAATAAAACCATGTGGACATAATCCACCGAACACGCACCGCGCTTGATGGTACCCTTATGAAGAGACAAAGGCAAAAACAAGCAAGGTTCACATGAAACTATCAACATGATTGAGTTCAATTATAGCGACATTTAAAAACACCCATTACGGACTTTAATAAAAAATGACTAGGATTCGATACTGGGTTGAGTCTGTTGATTCGCACTGCTGACATCTGGGCAGGTTAGAACAGCTGTAGTTCGCTTTCCAGGCTCTTACTTCATGTTGCGTTTGTTCTTCACAAGGGGAAGTTCACTAAGTAATTAATTTGAAGTTGAAAGGATTTAGTTTTTTGAGCATATTCACCTATGTCTACAGATGAGAACGTTTGCTTTGGTCATCGGTTGCCTCTTGGTGCTACCGTTAATATGCAAGGATACAACATGCCTAGTACTTCCTGGAATTCATCACCTGCAGTATGCTGATCCGAAATCATTCTGCCAAGCTACTTCATCTCTTGAAATAACTTATCAACCATTTGTCTGAGTAGGTACTCAAGGGAGAAGGTCATTTGGGAATAATTCATTTAATAGGCAAAGATAATGGTTAATCAATCAAATAATTGCAAAATGCTACTGAAATTTGGCTCCTGTATAAGAAAACACTGGGAGAGAAAATAGAAAGTAACGTTAACAAGTCACGTACCTTAACATGTGAATAGCGACCAGCTTCTAAATTACGCATTAGAATGCACAAGTCATCAGCACAGTTTACGAAAAACGGCAACAATCGACTTCGAACAAAGTCTTCGGCGTTGCCCATTTTCAGTATGGCTCTGTGGAATAGAAACGTTGATAAAAAGCAATTAGAAAAATTTCTCTTACAGAGAAATTTAAATGTGACACAGAAATCAAACGTCTAACAGCATTCCGTAAAGGAGTAGTAAAATGCTGCAGCCTTATTGAACTTTAAATACACGTGAAGAATAACCTAAAATAAAATTGACTGAATCACTACCCAGATTAACAGAGAGGGACCAATCAATCGAGTATTCTTATCCACGTGTCGTGAATAGGAAGCATGACACATCTGTTTGATGAACGATTGTTTTAGCGATCATGATAAAGCTTTTCACCACCACTTTTTCAGCTCTAAAATGCATATTTTTACTTCGAACCTGTGGGCGTCCCTGGTGTCACCCTCAGTGTTAAATATCACCGAAAACCTTTGAAATGCAACACAGCTCTCATTTCAGTTGCCATCGTTTACTACATCAGTGTACCTAGTTAACCACAATCTTGAACATTCTCTCCTGCGTTCCAACTAGACATACTTTCTTACTGCATCCATGCACTGCTTGATCCCGATTCACAGTTGCATCCGGGGATAGATAAATTAAAGTTATCTGAACAAGGATGAATTGAAAATTCTTATCGGTCTCGGTGGAAGCTGGATGATACAGTGGTAACAAACACACCTTTCATATAGGTCGGGAGTTCCAAGGTCGAATGGAACGTAAGATATTCACTAGTGATGAACTCCTACGAGGGCGAAACTGGAGAGAATGATTGACCAGATGAACTGAGAATTGTGTCTGAACACGGAGTTTGAAAGATGGTAAGTTCAAATCAATACCATTCATCCCATACCACTACTCATAAGCGATTGTGAGTCAAACGTAAATTAACATATTATTATTATACATAAGATGAAGGATTGCTTCTACAAGGAAACGTGAAAGCAAGGTGGCCGCAGTGATAACCGCACACAATCTAAAGGCGATATACTGGTGACCTATACCGCTTCACTACAGGCATCCTCATTCATCCCCACCGGTGATCTGAATGGTTGTATAACCATTTTGGTTTTGATAGCACTAGTTTTATGACTTTCTTACAAACCACCTGATATATTCAACGTTTAGAATTATTAAATACCACCGTAAGGTTCATCTAACGAAATACGTTTATAAATATCCTATGACTGATTTTACTGTCTTCAATTACTCTATAGCACTTTAAACATGTTTAGCCTGCTTTTTCTGATGTATTCAATCAACAAGTCATTTATAGAAAAAGCCGCATTACTGCTTCACGCTTAAGATGATGGAGCATTGAAATGTATTTAGTAAATATCACTGTTATCTGTCAAACTGGATATATGCACAAAGCGAGGTCGAATACGGTGGGTAGACAGAAAATGAGAGGAAACCACTAAGGTGAGAACTAAAATACGCTCAAATGGGTTTTGCACGTAACTTTTGAATGAAAATATTAAGATGAGAGGCTTGACCGCAATGATGGAGTCACTTGGACTGAGGCATCAAGTCAATGTGTCAGTGAGGTGATGCACATAAATATGATGAAATTAAGGACCAGTTGTTGGAGGAAAGCTCTCCTGGTGAATTCCACTTCGTTGAAAATAATGAACTTCTCTAGTATAAATGCCATCACCGGGTCAAACTTCTATGACTCTCTGGTACCGCTGTATCTAACCGCTAATAATCATTTAATTGAATAGTAAAGACAAATGATATCATTATGCGTGATGCAACTACAAGAATAAACGTACTGTGAGCAGAATTTATTTTAGATCATCAATAAGTTTTGTATCCAAACGACAGGATAAGAGCAGTAACACTCTAGTGCTGATAATGAGAAAGGACAAGGAGACAAATAAACAAGTTCTAAAACTAACTTCACATCAATTGTTTGTACGAGACCCTGGAGACACGAGACTGCAATCCTCACATCATGTCCAAATGCACTGAGTTTCACGCGCAACAAAGAGAACAGTTTGCAGAACAATCTGAAATGGGGAAGTTGATACCGATTTGAATGTGTTCAATTTGAGCTGATTCGAATGGAACATATACGAAATGAAAAGTAGCCGGTATTGTGAGTCACTTCCCTTTGTTTGTCCAACTGCGCAGCTTGTTTGAAAACATAGCCTAGCCTATCGAAATGACATTAAGTTCGGTGGGGCAAACGTGATACCGTTAGAGGTTCCGTTTGCGATGCGAAAAATGAAAAGACAATTTAAGAATTGCTTGCAAATATCTCAAACCCTCCAAGCTTTTATGGCTAGAGGAAATATATGTGCGGATGTTATCAGCATCTTCCTATCCGAATTCGTTAGTATCGATATATGTACATACATATATCCCCGATTTAATTAGGAACAAGTATCTTACCTCGAGTACAATATTGCTAAGAGAGATTATGCAATCAAAAGTATTCCGTGGTCCGATATTTCTACTTACAGTAAGCTCCTGGGAAGAATAGACTACGTGAGCATTCCATAATAATGTGCATTCCCGAATATGTCAACCCAGGAGATCAGATATAAATCGAATGAATTTGGTCAGACTAGAAATCCCGAAATGGACAACTCCATCCGATTTTCAACAAAAAGTTTAACATGGACAGTCAATGTGAACATATGGAGACAGGAATAAACGCAGTTACTGCCAAGATATCTCATTTTGAAAAAAAGGATCAGGCTTCATAGTATCTTTCCAAAGTTCGCGATACCGTTTATTGATGATGGTAATACTCTTTTCCATGAATAACAACTCGCAAATATTTATTCGTATACAGCTATTGCAATGCAGTTACATCCTCAAATTCTGATGTATGAACAGAACATTATTAAGATCTTGTTCTTCTCAAAATCAATCGCTGCATTTCATTTTTAGCCATAATACATCCTTTGACTTCTGCACAGATACCTTTTGTGTATCTACTCTCTGTTCTTGTCAGTCTTTTTACATTTTATTAGTTTGTCGCGGCAACGACAAAGTCCTTCGTTTAGTCTTTTATCTTTCGTTTATTTCGCCACTATAGCACTTTGGAAGACTCGTTCATGGAGTTATTATTTGGTTTACTCTATTATTTCACTGCAAGGTGAATACTTCACGTAATGCCTAAATCCCAGATGAGCTTGCCCATCTGTGTATTAAATTTTTGTTGTCAAATACTTAGACTGTATACTATGACGATTGTCCAACTAAATGTACGCATTTATGTATTATAAAAAATAAACGCGATTGTTCAGCCAATGTGATTATTTTGATGACGAAACTTATATTACGAACAACCCCAAATAGAAATGGGTTGCGTTTAATCTCAAATAGGGACCCTTTGGAGGGGGGGGGGGGGAATGCGGCGCACAGTGGACGATAAACATTTGACATTTTAAATTAACACACAAAACTCACGTGGCTGCCATCTTCTTCTCTTCTATAGAAGCTCCAGATGACGGATCGAGGAAATATGAGTGCTGT